TCTATCTATCTATCTATCTATTTATCTCTCCATCTGTCTATCTATCCCTCTATCTTTTTCTATCTATCTATCTATCTATCTATCTATCTATCTATCTATCACAAAAACAGTGTTTTAGTATACTGTGCTTCTGTACGCATCTGTGTGTGTTTGCGTACGTGAGAACAAGAGCACTCAGTCTGAGTGCTCTTGTTCTCACGTACGCAAACACACACAGATGCGTACAGAAGCACAGTATACTAAAACACTGTTTTTGTGATAGATAGATAGATAGATAGATAGAAAAAGATAGAGGGATAGATAGACAGATGGAGAGATAAATAGATAGATAGATAGATAGATAGATATATAGATAGACAGACAGACAGACAGACAGATAGATAGATAGATAGAGGGATAGATAGAGAGATGGAGAGATAGATAGATAGAGAGATAGATAGATAGATAGATAGATAGATAGATAGATAGATAGATAGATAGATAGATAGATAGAGGGATAGATAGATAGAGGGAGAGATAGATAGATAGAGGCGATAGATAGAGAGATAGATAGATAGATAGATAGATAGATAGATAGATAGATAGATAGATAGATAGATAGATAGATAGATAGATAGATAGATAGATAGAGGAATAGATAGAGAGATGGAGAGATAGATAGATAGATAGATAGATATAGAGATGGAGAGATAGATAGATAGATAGATAGATAGATAGATAGATAGATAGATAGATAGATAGATAGATAGATAGATAGATAGATAGATAGATAGATAGATAGATAGATAGATAGATAGATAGATGGAGGGATAGAGATATGGATGAGACAGTGTGTTTATTCAAGCTAAATAAAGGTCTATTGTTTTCTGTGTAAAGAAAAACACATTAATCTACTATTGTTCAAAATGTATATATAGACCCAATAATATTTTCCAAATGTGTTCATATATATTCATGTTGTAGTTGCAGCTGATTTTGCCACACTGTATGTCGTCATGCCAATAAAGCTATTTGAATTTGAAGGTAGATATAGATGGATAGATGGATAGATGGGATTTCCTCCATTCAGCCTTTGCAAAAACACGTTAATGTTAAGTATAGACTGTTTTTCCTATGATAATGTATACTATATTACTATATAGTATATTATTATTAGGACAGACAAGGCAACACAACTATATACCTCTCCACTTCTAGAGCCTTGAACGTCTATCTCTCTCATCTCCAGTCCAACAACAACAACTTTCACCATCTTTGTTCCTCTCCCTCGGACACACCTAAACATACACCAAAAAAGCAATAACTGCTCATGCTCTCACCTGCAGAAACACTTTATTAAACGTCCCACCCAGCGTCAGTGGGTCCCAGCCGCCCCTCTGTCTCTTCCTGTACTCTGGTCGACCCTCCAAACGCAGCCTGCTGCAGCTCTTGTCCGCTGGGAGAAGCGACAACACCCGCCCTAAACTCTCCCTTTCCTTTCTCTTTTCTCACGCAAAGACGCCCATCGCTAAGGTGAGCTGCGCATACAGGAAGAGACCGACATTTCCGTCAACTCCGCGGACTCACTAAACCTCTACGAGGACGCTGCGTTATGCGCCATGTCACACAAAAAAAAACTGCACAAATGTAGACAACACAAAGGGAGAGGAGGAGAAGTGAGAGGGAGACACTGACAGTGATATGATGTAGTTTGAGATAACGATGGGATAGAGAGAAGTGGAGGAAAAACACTCACTGTGGCGGGATTAAAGGATGCCCATGTCGGATGCTGCAGTCGGTCACCAGCATCAGCATCTCCGGGCTGCGCGGTGCATCAGCGCGAGGGAGGGAGGCGGAGGGGAGGGAGGGTGAGGCCGATGATGTAAAAAGCTTTAAATCATTCAGGAGCCCGCTGCACGACATGTGACCGCCGACACGGTGTATAATTCACCCGGTTTGTTTCCTGTTCTGCTCTCGACCGAGGAGACACCGAGCTGACCGGACGTCGTTGTTCCAGTCCGCCCTCGTGAGCACCATGACACGAGGATTATCGCCACAATGTGCCCACTATATCCCTATTATGTTCTTTACGTCATGGTACATCATACTTACTTCGGAGTTTATACTGAAGTTGTACTGGATCGCTTTATTTTTCCATGTTGTTTTACCGCTCTTACAATAAATTAAATACAAGTGTGTCAATGGGTGATTCATTTTTTATATTATTATTTACTAAAAGTGTTTTGATATCTATGCCATTTAGTTAAAGAACACAACACACTTGTTTTTATTGTAAAGCATTAATTGAGCAAAATTAATATAAAGTAGGATTATTTGTATAAAGATTCTAAAGGTTTATTATGTATTTGCTAAACAGTGATGGCACATATCCAATCACCCCCAGTTCACTTAATTGTTTGTTGTTAATAGCATCTATGTCAAATACCTTGTGGTTTGTCTTCAGTCTCTTAAGCAAGGTGAGACACTCTTAACGTGTCACTTTAAGTGTTATTTTGCCACCTCACAATGTCATTTTCCTTGTAATTGCTTTACAGTGATACAGGAGATCAATATATTTGGCCACAGAGAGCTGCAGATACAAATGATCCCCACCACTGCAAAGTTGATGGTATAGGTCACACTGTCAAAAATAATTACGTGAGCTTTAAACGACTATTGGACCTTTTCCAGGCATGTGACCTTTTCTATGGATTAAATTACTTTAGAGGGGCCTTTAAGTAAAATTGGGGATTAATATCCTGAGAAGAAACGCTTCCCTTCTGTCCAACATTCCTTTCCAAGGGCAGAGGCAGTGAGAGTCATGTAAAGGCGTGCTGATGAATTATTAAACATGATGTCTGATCAAATATTCAGCAGATGGCTGTGTTATTTGTTCACAGATAGTATTTATGCAGCTGAATTGCTTATAAATTGTGTGTGTGTGTGTGTGTGTGTGTGTGCGTGTGTGTGTGTGTGTGTGTGTGTGTGTGTGTGTGTGTGTGTGTGTGTGTGTGAAACCTCTTTCCTGTCCATTGCAGCAGCACTGTTGCTTTTGGCAGCCATCT